TATCATGCTATTTTCATGGCTAAAACGAGGCAACATTAAATGTTTGGTCTCCACTTTTTTGTCAAAACTGAAACATCTTCACAGCTTTTGGGTAGGTTGTAAAAAACTAACATGAATCTTCATGGTTTCCATATGAAGGTGTGGATCTAACTGAGAACTATGCCCACAAGGTTACAACTGGTCAATCACAAAATAGCCACACCTTAAAACAAACCCTGCTTTGTTGTCTATTTCCTCTCAAGTGGACCACAGTTTACAAGATGAACATCATGTAGTCTTGAGGAAGAATTTAAAACAGAGTTTAAGACCATAAACTCATTTGGGAAGTATTTACGAAGCAAGGGGAGGGATGCTTTTTGCAACCAGAGGAATCACCCCCTGCTTTCTGTTAGAAAGAATGCAGGTTGAAGTCACTTTTGGTTTGACTTCACTTTTCAGGTCCAGAGGCTACATTCGTCTTTTATATTCAGTCAGTGTGTGAAACTCAGATTTTTCATCAAGCACCACGAGCAAGTGAAAGGCCTCTGAAATATCTCTGGATAAACTGTTTTCACTGACACCACATAGTTAACAGCATTAGCACAGGAGAAGGTGTTTCACCAGTTGTTAGATGGATTATTATAAATGTTATATTATTGATAGAATCATGCTGACTTTTCACCATCATCATCAGGTAAAAACTTCAACCTATATGAAGCACAGTAATCATTATATCTGCTAACATTAGCATGTGAAAGATGCTACAATCACCTAATTCTGATGGGCACATCTCCTCATGAAGATGATTTCTGATTTTATTTCTACATTGTGCAACTCTAAAAGTCACATAAGTTTTTTAGATACTCACAAATTAATTGTTACGTCGGGCTATTGGCTGGACTATATTATAAATATGTGGCTTTGGCAGCAGTTCAATCCAAGTCACTGCTGATCTCATAAAGTTTTATTACCTTATTTTACTTCACTAAGTACACGGCGCACAGAAGAGCTTCCATTTCAGTCAAGAGCCATCAGGGAGCTTTGTCTTCTAACTGCCCTTTGATGAAATTGTAACCCAGTGGGGATACAATAGACACAGGTACCTGCAGTTTCCATGCACATATGGTAATACAATATGGTACAAATTAGACCACCGTCATCAACTGAAACTGAGTTTTTCCATCTACTTATCCTCATCAGACAGTCTGAAGTCTCTCAACAAGCCAAAGGGGATAAAATCAAATCAAGGATATCAAATGAAGCTGCCTCTTCTCTTTTCGTGCCAATGTGAGTATACTACACAAGGTGTACTTATGTTTTACTAATGCATCTTCTCGGGAAGTCCTTTCAGTGAAATGAGGAGGATCATCTATGAGAATTCAATTCAATTTATATGGAAAAAATAGTCCCACATGCAAATAGACACTGGGGCTATTTGTGACATGTTTTGTTGAAAACTGATCATGCAGAGCCGTCACACAGTGACTTTAAAGAGCACTGACCTTTGAAGAGTCAAGGGACGCTTCGTTACACAAACAAACAGGTTAGTTCTGGAGTCATGACTAAAACACACTGCTCTTAATTTAAACTATTTTGTGCAAAACTTAAAGACAGTCTTGGTTTCATATTTTCAGGATATTTCTTTTAGGAGAAATTTTAAAATAATACACTTACCATCTCTTTTGCTGACGTAAACTGAAAGAAAATGGAACAGATTTTTTTTAAATTTTAAATCCTGATTAGAATAGGCCTTGTTAGCATGTAAATGTCAAAAATTGTTTCAACAACTAGCAGTATCAATACTGATGAATTTCAAAATGTCAACAAGTTTCTGGTCTTACCAACAGGTGCGTGTCTTCTTCTCCTCACAAGTGATCTGTGGCTCAGGTAAGCTCTTTTTTTTCTGCCTTGTAAAACTCCTCCTCACAAGGGAAAGCTGACAAGGTGCACTTCCTCATCCACAGGCCGTGTTGCCTTTCAGCCGCTGTCCGTCACACAGTCAAACAGAAGATCATGACCTAGTGCATCCAGCAGCCTTCATGGGACCTTCAAAAGGCGTTAAACACATCTCTATAAGCAGCTACCTCCAGGGTCCAGAGGGCTGTTTTTGCTCACTGCAGGCACTATTGCTAAGACGTTATGATCTCGGCCAGCAGTGATTGTCTACATATTCAATTACACTCAATAAAACATATTTGCATAAAGGTTAACAATCTTTCCCTGCCAGTTTTTGATTGGTTTTTGTTTCTTTAAAATCATAGCTCTGGGTCTAAGTATTGGAAGCATTAAAAAATAAATAAATAAAAATACAAAAGGCAAAACACCCTGGGGCATACACAATAAGTTCTGCTTTGTTTGTTTTTTTTCTTCTGCTAGCGTTCAATGTGTTTTTGAGTCAATGTGTTTCCCAATAAACGTTTATTCCTGAAATCCTTGTTCAGAGAAACATATGTATTTCAGTATCACCAGCGGTAGAAGCAGTATTCAGCAACACCACACTGCAAATATGTAAAAGTCCAGCACTAAAAGTATTATTTAGATAAAAGCATTTTTGGCCAAATGTACTTACAGCTTTAATTTTAAGCCCTTGTGATGTAAGGTAACACAGAAAGCATTATATGTCATTTTAATTGATGCAATAATATTCATATTTATTAAATGCTTTTGTAATTGTAAGAATGCACCATGCATTGTAAAATCACAATATATAAAGTAACTATAAACGTATGATGAAGCATAAAGTGGTTAAAATGGTACCTCACACATGTAATTATGTATATTGCTTGATGAAAAGTGCCTTGCTGCTTTCCACCCTGAGGCCTGAATGGCATGTTGTAAGCAAATGTCTTGAGGTGATTAATAACATACGCCCATAATTACTTCAGTGTCGTGAATCAATGCCTGAGTGAGGCTGTCGTTGCTTTAAATAATAAATAATTCTGGAATTAAAGTTAATGCAACATGTAATTTTAATTTGGTGCAGTTTCTCACTTGCCCTCCGTATGATTTCCTCTATGTTCACGTTCGATGTTAACATGTTAGTCTGCGGTAAACAAGCGGGACACAGACAGGAGACGCTTGATGCCTGATAGGAGGGAAGCGATCAGCAGAGCGAAGCACCAAGGTGCAGCTCACATATCATCATTGCTGTCTTCCTCCCCGCAAGTCTTAATTAAAGTGAGCACTTGTGAGAAGATGAGAGTGTGAACACCATCTCAGAGGTGATCCAGTTACGGATGCTCGCCGCTTCATTTCAGAACCTCCCAGACTGACGTGGAACCAATTTCCTTTATTCGCGAATAAACAAGCATACAAGCAGCTAATAACAAGCGTATCAGATTAAATGGAGATTTTTTTCATGTAATTGAGAGGTCCTCTTGTCACTAGAGTCAGACCTGTGCAAACTGAATGGATTATGTAGTGCTCTATATATGTAATATC